CTAAAGGATTTCCTGAACAAGATGGGGTCAAATAACATCTGGTGTGAAGGAAACGGTCCAAATCCTAATGCCGACCTGCGTTCTGGATATATTATGAACACTAGTATAAGTAGTTTGGAGAAAGCTGATGTTTTCCTTCTAGTTGGCACACAGGTAAATTTTTTGTTTGCTTAATGATATAGATTTATAGATGAATTGACATTCAATGCTAATTATTCACGAATTAACCCCCACAGCCAAGAGTAGAAGCTGCAATGGTGAACGCGAGAATCCGCAAAACCGTCCGGGCCACCAATGCCAAAGTTGGCTACGTGGGCCCACCGGCCGACTTCAACTATGACCACGAACACCTCGGCACGGGTCCGGACACGCTCTCCGAGCTCGCTGAGGGCCGCCACCCGTTCAGCTCTGTCCTCTCGAGTGCCAAGAACCCGGCCATAATCGTTGGGGCTGGAGTCTTCGAGCGCAAGGACAAGGATGCCATCTTCTCGACCCTCGAGAAAATTGCCCGAAACTCAAACGCGATCCGGCCCGACTGGAACGGGCTCAACACCCTTCTCCTCAACGCCGCGCAGGCTGCTGCCCTTGACCTCGGCCTCGTGCCGGAATCCGGCAGCAGCGTCGAGACGGCCAAGTTCCTCTATCTGATGGGGGCAGACGATGTCGACTTGGAGAAACTTCCAGAAGATGCATTTGTGGTGTACCAGGGCCACCATGGGGACCGAGGCGTTTACCGGGCGAACGTGATTCTCCCGGCTTCAGCCTTCAGCGAGAAAGAGGGCACTTACGTAAATACAGAGGGGTGTGCCCAGACGACAATACCTGCCGTGCCGACTGTTGGGGATGCGAGGGACGATTGGAAAATTATTAGGGCACTGTCTGAGGTAACTGGGGTCGAGCTAATGTACAACACACTTAGTGATGTGCGGAATCGGATGAGGACTGTGGCGCCTAACCTTGTGGTGGTTGACGAGAGGGAGCCGGCCGTGTTCTCGAGCTCGGCCCTGAGGCCCGAGGTGAAGGAGAAGATGGATAATAAGGTGCCATTTGGAGTTGCTGTCGAGAATTTCTACATGACCGATTCCATTACACGGGCGTCGAAGATCATGGCCCAGTGCAGCGCGTTGTTGAAGAAGTGATTGTGGATTTTTTTGGTACTTTAAATAAGGTGCCCTGTTTGGGCATTCTTTTTTTCCCCCTTTGTATGCTTTTTTGGTGAATTTATAATATGCATTGGGGTGTCAGGAGAATAAGGTCTGTGAAATAGAGGAACCTTGTTACTTACACAGTGTGCCATTTTGTGTTGTGTTGTTAAAATGGCAAGGATAAATCTGTGTTCTGTTATGGAGTGTATTTATTTGTAACTTTGACAACTACTACTGATATGCTGTTGTGGGATCACAAGCTGTTGTGTTATTTTGTTTATATTGACTATGAATTTATTTTACCTTCTTTTATCAGTTTTATGCTTCAAAACAAGCTGTAAGTGATACACACGATCAAAACTAGACAAAACAGGGGAAACCAAAAATAAAGTAGAAATAGAAAAGGACTAGGGAGAAGGTGTGTTTATGACTTCATGTGAACTCATTCTGCCATCTCGGGAGCTATCTTCGAATAAGAAGAGATGTCAGACTGAACGAACGAGCTCTCCCAATTCTGCCCGTCAAATTGCCTGATCTCCACATTCTTCAAAGTCCCCGAGTCCACACATTTGACCGTGACCCCTACACCATCAGGATTCGATCTCGGGATGTAAAAGGAAGTTATGCCGCAGACCCTGCAGAATGTGTGTTTCGCCGTATGCGTCCCGAACGTGTATGTCGTAAGGAACTGTTTGGAATCTTCGTTTAGCTCGAAATCTTGGGACGGGACAACGAAGTGCGTGTTCCCTCTCATGGAGCAGTCGGAGCAGTTGCATTGCCAGGCCACAACGCTCGGCGGGGCCCGCACC